TTTCCCCAAATCAAGGTTTTGATTTTTCCTTCATTTTATATAAACAGTTCCAGAAATATCTGCAATTATACACACCATGTGCTAGTGTTCAACACAAGACAAGTTGTAAAAGCAGAATTTCCAAACTCTGGAATCACATAGCCAAATAAGGTACAGAATATTCAATACCTTAGTTATTTTTCATAGCATTCAAGGATACATCGACAGATGTACAGTATGGAGTTACAGTATGATTCAGAGTCCAAGGCAGTTTGTCTTACACATTTGAACATTTTATAAATATTTGCAGGGCCATGGCCCGATTTCTTTGCAGAAGACTTCTAACTTTAAGTGCATACAAATTTGTTGTTTATTAATAACCCTTTTTTCCAGTAATTAAGTACTGAAATTTTGTCTTAGAAAAACAGCATTAGACCTAACTGACATCTGACATTTTAAGATGTTTTATTAGAAACAATCAAGTTAAGTAAATAGGGGAAAAAAAAAAAAGTAGCAAAAAAATCTCAACTTTAGATAAAGCACTCTCGATACACTTAGGAGAGCTTATATTAAGACAGTCTAATCAGTGTTCACCTAGGAACCACGCTGACTTTAAACTTCAGCTTGGTCCAAAGTATTTATCTGAAAATGCTGACTGTGATGCAGATCAACAATGGCTTAATCAAAATATGTTTGTCTATTGTCTCGCTTTAAATAGATGATCTGTACTGGTACCCAACACTACATCACTTCCGGGTGGTTTTGACCAAGCTCTTTTACCTATCTTGGCCTTAGTTTCCAGCTACAACATTTTTTCTCCAAGGTCTGGTTCGTGTATTTCAATTGTAAAATTTTCAGCATAATGACCATACTGGGTTTATTCAATTAAACATCCAAGATCTCCATCTCCTGACTGACACATCTGAAACACACTTCTGAGAAAGACAGAGTTCCTATTTACTTCTAATTGAGTAAATTAATACAAAGAGAAGTTACTTTTTACCTCTTTTACTGTAAGTCAAAAAGAGTTAAATCCTGTTCACATACTTCTTAAGTCATGTGATATAAATCTCTCAGTTTGAGGATATGACATTTTAAAAATAGGTCTCTTACTTGAGGAGCCTGCTTTGGAAACACTCAGCTGAACTGTCATGCTCTATAAAATACAGTTGAAATTAATCTATTCAGACAAACCTATTATTATTAGTTTCAAGATTTTTTTTCTTAAGATAGTTGTTAAAAAGAACTAATGACAAGTGTGAGTATGGTATTACTAGACACCCAGTAGCTTTCTGCTAACAAGGGTGACTGCATTTTTTCCTCACCTTTCAGTCTATCTCAGTGCATGTACAGGGACACTGATGGTAGGTAGGGTGACTAGACCATTTCCAGACATCTTCTAATTTCAGCCACTCTGAACTAGATACTCCTCCCTGAAGCAACACATGCTTAATACACATGCAAAAGACACTTGATAATTTTGTATTTACTTTATCCATAAAGCACACACAGATGCTTTGGTAGAGGTTTTATACTGCAGATTTTTGCATGGACTATATAAAATTCCTGGCCTAATTCAAAATTACTTACTGAATTAGAAATTATAAGAAGCTGATTTCTATATGATGATGCTTTATTTAAAAACAGCAGCAGCGTTGCTATCTGAAACAGCCTAGTTTATATCTCACCAAGAGAAATTAGTATTATCTTTGTTCCGGTTAGTGGATTTTTGGATTATAAAGTCCTTACACAGTTAGCCTTTCATGAAGCATTGTCAGGGATTAAAAACATCCTTATGAACATGTTCTCATATAATGAAATCATAGCAATTCAACTTCATTTTACCCAGAGCAGGAGAAGTACGCCAATTAAAAGCTCTGTTTTGAGGGTTTAATATCAGCAGGTTGAAAACGGGTTAGGCAATAAACTAGCAAAAAGATTCTCAGCCCAGAGAGGATTTTTTCTTTTTTTTTTTTTTTTTTTTTTTAATGTCAAGCACACTTTAAATCTCCTAAGCTGTTTATAATGATAGAGTTGCCAAAAATAGCCCAGCTAAAAATCACTGAATTGGCTGCATTTATTACAGAACACAAAGAGCCTCAAAGCATTGCAGAATGTTAGAAAAAGGTCTTTAAAAAAAAAAAACAACAAAAACCCCAACAAGTAAAGATGGTGTATTCTGGAGGTTTGTTTTTTATTTGTACACAAAACTCAGTGCATCCATTTTAGGTACAAATATAGCTTCATATTTATGAATAGTACCATTACCTGGGAGTAAATACTCTAAATTTTTCAGTCAAAAAGTACCACAGTAGCATCCTTGTTAATACTTCCCTCCTAATTAATATGACTTTAATGTGTACAAGGACCTATTCTTAATGAGGTTTTGTTCCAGCTCAAGAATGGTTGTGTGGGAGAATACCGAGTCACAAGAATCCTCTTCTCTTCAGTAGCTCTACCTGAGCCAAACAAGAAGCAATAGATGCCACTGACTGCACTGAGAACTAACACCATACAGATCGCACTCCTCTCTCTGCTGGTGTAGTAAGGCTGCACTGTGCCAGCTATGCTATCAAGGAACAGAGCTAAACAGCCAGGAGAAGCATTTAGCTGTCTTCTGCAAAGTCTCTCCAGGCTGCACAGAGCAAGACACAGGACTAGTTACTACAGTAATATCCTAAGTAGCACCTTATCCTGGCACTGCCTGCCAGAGAGGATTTAGAATCACAGTACTATCAGAACAGTATAGACAGTTATATACAGGTTGTTTTTTGGTTTGCCTTTTTTTTTTTTTAAAATTATATCAACTGACAACTTCCATGAGTCACTTGCCCAACTCTGTACAGACTAACACAAATTAAAGGAGACATGGTGAGAACACTAAACAGGTATTTTTTGGAAGAGGCACAATGAGACTCAGTTTCATGCTTGGTTAAAGGCAGGCTACAACTGCTGCTACTAAAATAGGAGTCTACCTTCTCTCTGTGCTCACATTGGTTCTGAAGCTGCATGGTGAGTTGGATCAGCTTAATAACTCAAAAGTGAAGGTGAACTGTGTTCCTGCCCAGTTCCTGAGCGGTTACTATAGCTGATATGAGGGAACTGCCATAAATGTGCAGACAGGACCAGAGGATTGGTGACTTTTCATTTTGGCAGCAGGCAGTCTTGGAATATCATGTCAGTCATGAAATATCAGATATCACTGATAAGGTGCTATTCTTCAGCAACATATGCCTTGCTCAGAGTTGGTCCAATTTTCATAGGGAAAGCAAAAAAAAAAAAAAAAAAAAAAAAAATTATCATTCCCATCTTCGAAGTAAAAAATTATTTTGAAGAAAATAATTCTATGGTAATATTTTCTCCAGTTTTCTTCTCAGAATGAATTATTTTCCTTGAAATTTTCCTCAGGTTGCTGTAACATGACATATATTTCAGCCTGAGGTGTTATGTCCTTGCTGTTACAAGCAAATAAAAGTCAGGATCTTTCTATGGGGAGTGCTTCATAGAAGTTTCTATTCACATCTTGAGATATGAATATAGATGTAAATCTATAAAAGCTCCCAGCACTTCCCACGCACAGATCCTGACTTTCATTTTATTTAATAGCGGAACTTCCATATATCACTAGCACTAACTGGAACTCTCTGGACATTCTTTAGGCTGTTAGCTGTCATAAAAACCTTTGCGTACTCTTCCAAAAACTGATCTGTCTGTGATTGATCTATGTAAGCAACTTAGACTTCCTACCTTTACCTACCTGTGAGTTTAGATTTTAATATATTCTTCTTAAAATGCTACCTGGTATGGTCATCTATGCTGTCCATGCCACTAAAACAAAATTCCAAAGATTTATAGAAATAAGTGTGTTAGAATTGGTTATTACATGACACTGATTATGGTAAGCAACCATAAATATAATTTTCCAGTTGGAATTTCCACTTCACAGCTTCAAGCGGCAATGTGCCAGAACCGAGTATTAAGGTCTGACTACGTGCTAAAGCAATTAACTTAATCCTCAGCATTTCTGAGCATCTTAATTAAATTTATGGACTCTTTCCTCTCTCATTCCTATGCAACTAAATAGGAAAAAAATAAGCTCTCTTTCCAAAATTACCATATATGAATTGATGTACATTGCACATCTAGCAGAAGGTAAAGCATTTCAGAATTCCTTCAGTGTGTTAAGAAATTAAGTTTAACACAATATTTAAATGTGCTTGGAGGTATGAACCAGGTATGCGATAAATACATTAACTGTGGTAATCGAAGGCTAAACTGCATTGCATATTTCACAAAAAAACCCCACAACCGACCCAACAAACAAAAAAACCCCAACCCAAACAGACCAAAGCCACCACCAAAGGGAGAATACAGTTTATCTACCATTAGAAAAGTTCTCACCAGTACTTGTTTGTCAACACTGAGTTGTAAATAAGTTACAGGATTGCTCATATAGTAATAGAGGAATAGTCTCACATGCTATTTTCTCAATCAGTGATAGAATTAACTACAACAAAATAAAATGAAATCATATTGAAATCTTGAAGAAACAAATTACAAGTCCAATCTTTAAAACATTCTTCTGAATAAACTACAAAACTATTTTCTGACTCAAGATAAAGAAAATGCAGCCTTGCTTCTGATTCAGTTGCAAACTGAATGTTACCGTGCAGCATCACAAAGAACAGGAAACAGTGCTTTAATGGTGAACACAAAATTATTCAGAACAAGTATTAATAGTGATTAAAATATCATCAACAAGAAAACGTTATTAGGTTATTCATTTTGGCAATTATTTTTTAAAACCCAGAATTTTAAAGTCACAGCTATTAAAATAAAATACTTAAAAATTAAAAAAAAATAAAAATCAGAAGTAGCCAAGTCATGTAATTACTGAATTCAACCAAGTCTTTACAACCATCAACAGAATTTAATAAAATATTAGAAGGAAATTGCAATACATTACATTGTATACTTAGTGATAAATATTTTTAGGAAGTTATTTAACACTTAGGACTTACCGGCAGTTAAGTCGTTATTTAAATCTATAAATGCATGAGAGTGCGGTGTATACATTTTACTTTGAGTATCCAATGCAGCATGCCATGTCAAGTTCCTACAGACAAGAATAAAAAGCAATAAATTTCATCAACACTTAGGGACTGTTAATCATGATAATATAACTTTTTAAAAAATTTGTGAAGCTTTAGATGAAATTGAACATAAAGCATGTTCTACTAACCCTAAACTAAAGTTACTCCTTAGCTTACAATATACCATGTAACTATGCTTGAAAGGTTCTGCAAAGGATTATTCATAGCACAGGGGGCTTCAGTTAGATTTTATTAACTTTCTAAAGCAACTTTTTTGTACACAGAAAAATATCACTACCCACAAAGTGAAATTTAGTGCCTAGACTTCAGCTGTAACTCTTGATACACTGATGGCTGTCCTCCCTGGGTTCCTCAAGCAGCTTTACTATCAGTACTTTTGAAGTCTGCTTTAGGATTAATAAAGATGAGCAAAAAGGGACATAATCGCATGCTGTTAAAGCAGTTCATGCCTCCTCCAGGTAAATGCACTTCCTTTTCAATCACTTAAAAAAAAAAAAAATCAACACAAAAATTAAACTCTCACGTTATGATAGACTACATGCTAATTACGCCATCTCCCAAGCTGGTGATACTTTTAGTTATGTATTTATAAACATACATGTCCTGCTGGTTTCTGCTCTAAAAATGACTGAACTTCCAAACCTCCCTATTAGTAGTGCACTGAAATTTAACAAATTGTTCAGAAGTCAGAGCAGTTGAATCATCAGATATGTTACTTTCAGAACCCTTAGCTAATATACACAGAAAAATCTTAATATGTAGGACAGTGATATTACTAATGTCTGGAATAACTGTTTATTCCAGGGACATTGCACACACATTACTGAAGTCCTTATCTTCCATGACTCATTTTATGGTAAGACAAAAAATAAGCCTCTGATAACTTCCCAGAGATCATAACTAAGTCTTAGAAATGTTAAAAAGAATCACTTAACCTTAAATCAATCAATAAATAAATATTTTCTGTAAGTTTTTCTATGTATTCAGTTTTGAAGATAGCCAAGGAAGTTAGTTATACAGCTCTAGTATAAATTTAAAAATATTTTAGATTAAAAACAGAAAAAAGCTGTTCTAAGCAGATGACATAAAGCTGTTTTCCACGTACAAGACATTGCTTATGCTGCTACCTATAGCACTCAGTCTTATTTTGAGCTATAATGAGTAAGTTTATTTGTATGCTACTGAAAGGATTTTCTTCAACAAAATGAAACAAATCCCTCCTAGTTTTCCCTATCTTCAAAATCTTGTAAATTTTCAATATATCATCATTATAAGATGTTCAGAAACACTCTTGTGAATTTGAAATCTCTGTTCTATAAGCCATCAATTTAAATAAAAGTAATGGTCATAAAATCCAAGTTGGGATTAATGACCAAAAACATATTGCCAAGAAGGGTATAGCTTTACACATTTAACTTTTATTTACCCTACATCACTTCTGAATGACCTCTGAGGAAAGGAAAAGAGTCAGTTAGGAAAAACAGGTATAGATTTGTTAAACTCCCTGATGGGGTGTGGGGGGGGAAGCCTTATCTAAACATTTCTGATGGGCCATAGAGATGCAGGATGGAAAGCTGATATACTGTTGCCATAGAGACAGAGTAATCATCTCATTGATCTCTCCAGTGGTAACAGACAGCTTCTGAAACAATAGCTACAGAAAGACACATAAGAATGCAAAGACTTCCTAACACCCTTTCTTTTTAAATAAGCTTAAACATTGATTGCATGCAAACCTAAAACAGCTGTGACACCAACACCTGGATTTCTCCTGAAATACACAAAGCTTTTAAGTTTCTGTGTTAATGTTACTAAATAACATTCAAGACACTCCTGTGTTCCATTTAAAAGCTGCAAAATACCAAGTTAGAAGATGCAAATTTCTTCAAACAACTGATTTAAAGTTCCAGTCCAAAGAAAATAGTTTTAAAATAAAATGTCGAGAGTTATTTTTATATCATCACAAAGCTAAGAACAATGTATTTATTTTGACATTTATAACGCAACTCACATGCTATAAGTAATTTCTGCTCTCTTTTGAGCACATTCTTTAACAATTGAGAGAAAAATCTCTAAATCA